TGCTCTAGCCCAAGCCTGAATGTCTACACCACAATGAAACAGCCCCTTAGCCAGAGTCGGCTGGCATGGGCCAGTGGTGGAATTTTAATTGCAGTGCAAGCATAATGTCCATGAGATCTTCATCACCTGTTGAAGTTTTACGCAACACCCAGTTTTATAAGATAAGTGACACGTAATTGAGATCAGAATAGGGCCGTAGGGATTTGTAATCTCTGAGGATACTTTCATTTCTGTAGTGCTTTACAAAACTTATTCAATTCTACACATGCTGTCTTTAAAAACGGGGCCTGATCCTACTTACATACATTTAAAATATCAGTACACTCATTAAACAGATTAGCAGAGGGAAGTTAAAGGACATTAAGCAGTAGAAGACCAGCCAATGATTTCATGAGATTTGCAGTAAAATTAAAAAGGACACACAGACAGAGCAGTTGGTTTGGCAAATAAAGTTTAAAGAATAAATGGCCCTGGTGGAACAGGACTTAGAGTACATGGACCTGCTCTGTGGCAGTAAACTGAGATCAAAAAAACCTCAGATGGCTCATAGGCTACATGCAATTAACTATAATACAAGCTGAAAGAAAGGCCTCCCTCTCCATATTTTGGGGTTTGAACAAACCTGTTGGAAAGATCTTGTTTGGGCTTGCTGCCTGAGTAGCCGCTGTTGCTGCTGCTGCTGCAGGAGTTTCATCTGGAGCAGCTGCTGCTGAGACGTAATTGCATGTATGGAGGGTGGTTGCATCATGGTGCCAGAACGCCTCTGTAGCATGTTAGATAAGGCTTGTTTTGTGTTCGTTGGAACAAAAGAGCCTGTAGGATCCAATCTGGAACCTAAAAAACATAAAATATAAATGTTTTCCCTGTCTTTTAAAGCAAAAGGGCTGACAGATCACTGTTAATCTGCCTATTCTACTGCATATCAAATACAAATAACTTATGGTAAGAGGTCTGTCTCTTTAAAGGCAGAGAATTGGATTGAGATTAACATTCCCAGCCAGAACAATTAACAGGCAAGCACGGTTTACAAAAAAGAGCAGAGCACCTTTAAAATAGATGTGAAGGTGAGAGAGGAGACAATTACTGTGTCCAAACACGTTCAAAATAACTGTTCACATTACAAAAGTTTGACACCAGAAAAATGGAAACTAAAGTGCTTGGCCAAAGCAATCAATACAATCCTAAATGGATTTTGGAAACATACAAAGGTCATTTAATAAGAGACCATCAGAACCTTTTGAGGAGTACATCGGTGGAAATACCTTTCTAGGAAATGTTTCAGAGGGGCAGATGAAAGTAAATGGTCCTAAATTCTAGGCCCTTATGATGGGGTGTGCTTGCCCCACACTTGCCTGGAATAGGTCAATGTAGGCGAGGTGGGTGGGGTTGCAAGTGCTTTGGAGGATAGGATTAAAATTCAAAATGATCTGGACAAACTGGAGAAATGGACAGAATGAAATTCAATACAGACAAATGTAAAGTACTCAACTTAGGAAGGAACAATCAGTTGCACATAGAAAATCGGAAATGACTGCCTAGGAAAGAGTACTGTGGAAAGGGATCTGGGAGTCTCAGTGGACCGCAAGCTAAATATGAGTTAACAATGTTGCAAAAAAAGCAAACATCATTCTGGGCTGCATTAGCAGGAGTGTTGTAAGCAAGACAAGTAGTAATTCTTCTGCTCTACTCCTTGCTGATTAGGCCTCAACTGGACTATTGTGTCCGGTTCTAGGCACCACATTTCAGGAAAGATGTGGACAAATTGGAGAAAGTCCATAGAAAAGCAACAAAAATGATTAAAGGTCTAGAAAACATGACCTCTGAGGGAAGATTGAAAAAAAAAGGGGGGGGGTTGTTTAGTCTAGAAAAGAGAAGACTGAGGGGGGACATGATAACAGTGTTCAAGTACATAAAAGGTTGTTACAAGAAGAGAGGTATATTGTTCTCGTTAATGTCTGAGGATAGGACAAGATGCAATGGGTTTAAATTGCAACAAAGGTGGTTTAGGGTGGACATTAGAAAAAAACTTCCTGACTGTCAGGGTAGTTAAGCATTGGAATAAATTGCCTATGGAACTGTGGAATCTCCATCATTGGAGATTTTTAAGAACAGGTTAGACAAACACCTGTCAGGGATGGTCTAGATAACACTTTGTCCTGCCATGAGTGCAGGGGACTGGACTAGAGGACCTCTTGAAGTCCCTTCCAATCCTATGAGTCTATGATTAACTTATTAGGCTGCAAGCTGGGGGATATTTACATTGAGATGAGAGCCCTAATTAAGGAAGGCTCCCCTGTGGAGGAACAGGAGGGAGTTCTATAAAACCAGGGAGCTGGTAGCAGAATGAGGGCTGCAGTCAGTCTTTCTGAGATATGGGAGAGAAAGGGATTTGGACCAAAGAGGAAGCAGACCTGGAGATAGGAGTTTAGCTAGGGTGGAGAATGTGAGTCTGGGATAGAAAAGGTAGGAAGTAGTCCAAAGGAAAGGCAGGAAGGTTTGGGATAGCACAGGCCTTGGCTGCCAGAGAGAGGCCCCTGGACTGGAACCCAGAGTAGCGGGTGGGCCTGGGTTCCTCTACCAGCCTCTACCTCTCACTTGGTAGTGATCTTGAAAACTATCTGGGATTGTTCGTCCCAGTCACTGAGGAAGTGACTTAGCCATGGCAGTGGACTTAAGGACTGCCTGGGATGCCATGGAGGATTTGATAGAATTCTGGAAGTGGAGGACCATTATGACTTGGCCGGAAGGTTAAGCCACCAACATGAGGTGCTGCAGCTCCTGTGGAGCCAGAGAGCAACTGCAGAGCTACAGAGCGAGATGATGAGCTGGCAAACCGTGAGACAAGGGCATCAGGCTGAAAGAGCTAATCCCCAGAGTGGCCAGGAGGGGGACCCCATGAGTAGCAAACACTGTGACAGCACGATTGTAATACAAATGGATAACAATACATGTATAATTGAGGACCACCCCAGAGAAACAAGGACGACAACTCAAGACCTCCAATCCCAGAGGAAGGTTCTGAAGCATGCCATTCTGTCAAAGGGACAGGGAGAAAGAGAATGCTCTCTGGAGAAATGTAAAATATTGATTATTCCCTGTAACAACCTAAATAGTTTAGCCTGCACCTTGTACCTATTTAGATTAGCATGTGCAGAGTTTAAGCCTTACTTATGTTACGCAAACTTTTTCTTTTATTTTATATTATTTTTCCTAGTTCTATTATTAATAAATCTTGTTTTACTGAAATCCAGATGATTTTAGAATGGTCAGGAATTTCATGCAGATGGTCACAAAGAGGTAAAACAACTTTCAGCTTCTAAGAGGTGGCAGTTACGAAAGAGTGTCTGAAATCTACCCAGCTTTGGAATCTTGGTCAAAATGGCATGGTCTAAGATGTGCTGCTTTCCTCTGGTCCACGAGATACACAGAAGATACCCAAGTTTAAGGGTCAAAGTAACAAGAGCCTACATATCATACCTGTACTATCAAAATTATGTCATTTATGATCACTGCAAATAGAATGGCACAGAAAAATGCCTATCTGAATTATCAGGGAGATTTAGGCACAGCGGTTTATATCCCTTCTTTTTTGCTCCTTGCAAATGTCCATTTTCCGAGAGGCTCCATTACCTAAATGGTTATTGTAGATGGTCAATTCGCCACAGTGTGGAGTCTGTGTGTATGTATTAGTTCTGTACCAAAGGTTCAGCCTAGTTGTTCTCTGTGGTGTATAGCTAAGATTGTTTGTCCTACTCCATGCTAGGCTCAGCAACACTGGTTTTAGCAACATCGGAACCCCTAATGGCTACTGTTTTGGGTTTTGGCATTGTTGGGACCCCTAACCGGTACTGTGTGAAACCTTATAATGGGTTGAGTTAAAACCCCACTGAAATTGGTAGGTGTAAACTCCCCTTCAATTACCATAACTGTAAGCATAAGCCCCACCTAAGACAAAAGGTGCGTGACAACCCATCCAGGAGCTTTTGGTTGAGTATTCTTTTGGCTAGATGCATGGGGGGGGGGGGGAGAGATCACATAGAAACTGATGACAGACAAGAACAGATAGAGTCAGACAGCCTCAAGGAGCATTTGAAAACATAGTGGCCCTGGAAGAGGTTTTGGGGATCAGGGGTGCAGGCTAAAAGAGTGCTCTTGGTGCTGCGAGCAAAAGAATCTGTTTCCTGTTATTTGATTCCTTCTGCATTCAGAGACACAGGACTGTGTACATTATTTGTAAATAAACAAAACTGTATAAAAGAAAATACCAGACTCCATTTCTACTTCCAATTGGAACAACCTACTAAACCCTGAATTTTGGCTAGCCGCTCAGGCCAAAACAGGTAAGAGGAGGGTAAGACATCATACAGGGAGAAATGACTTCATGCAAATGGAAGAAAGGGAGAGAAATACACATATAAAAGTTATGAGACTGCTTGTTTTGCATGGTATTTATATTAGTTCCATCTCCCTTCCTCCTTTTTTCCACCTCTCTCTCCAAATTTCTCAACCAAAATCTAATTAGAAGGACTCTCTGTTGCTTTCTAATTAGAAGGTTTATAAATAAAAGGCCAAGAAATCTCCATAACTGTAATGCAGTAGTACTAGCAGCTCTCAAGTCACACTTGCTCCAGCATTCCAGCCTCCTGACCGAGATGGGTACAGCTGGATTGTGCCAATAGGGATAGTCTAGCAGTTTGAGATCACAGGGCTGCAAGCCATGAGCTCCTGAGTTCATGACACCAAATGTTTGAAAAATAGCTTTGAAGACTAAAAGTGGTCTATGAATGCTAACTCCTGGCACTGAAGATGATAAAGCGATGTACTGTACAACACATATTTTATCCTGAAAAATAAAAATAAAATTATCCATGACAGTTCATAAACAGAAAGTGAGTAATTTTACGACAATCTGCAAAAGAATAAGTCCATTCCACTCTGACATAATAGAGGCCAAATATCTCTTATTCTCTGTGTGCTGCCTGACATAAAATTAATGTGTGTTTATTATGAAGGAAAACTGACTTCATTTGCAGCTCTCTAACTTCATCTCCTTAATTTTTACAATTATCATCTAAGATTTTCTGGACATTTTTTACCTAGTATAAATAACATCTACTTATATTTGAATCATCAGAAAAAATATTTTATGTTTATATATTTGTAACCAAACTGATACAATTTTTATGTTGTATAATTTTCCTTCATGATGGGTAGCTATTTTTATAAAATCTAAAGATTTGCTGTATTTCCCCTTAGAGTATGCAAAATATTTTCATTGGACATGGACATGAAATGAAAAACAAAATAATTTATACGAACACAAATGGCAAGCAAATGCTAAAGATGCGTGTTATCCCATGGCACTTATGTGCCACTTATAACGGACATTGATCAATTTATAACAAACCAAAAATCAGGACTGGACTAGTTTCAAAATACACATCATGAATCAAAGTAACAAGGCAAATACCATTACATTTTTTTAAATTATATTTTCTTATATCTCTCACGTTAAACTATTTATCAGCATTCTGCCAGAATTCGTCTAACACATTTCAGTGACCTATTTGTGCCCAGTGACAAAACACAAATGTAATACATTGATGAAGATGATCCTCAAAGTTTTTTAGTTGAGAAAGTAAAGCCCTTGTATTAAGTGAACTAAAGGATTAAAACTCAAGGCTTCAGCAGTCACATCATGTTTTGGGGAAAAAACTAAAGTAAAAATAAGATATTGCTGTTATTTCAAGAAGTAACATTCTTATTATACAACAAATAACATCTCCATTTACTTCCAAAGCCTACACATACCTGGTGGAAGGGGCTGGTTCTGAACAAAGAAACTAGGCTGTTGTGGTTGTCCCATAATGTTATAACCCCACAAGGCAGACTGGGGATGATGCATCATTTGAGAGGAAATTGGTGAATAGTTGGGAGGCACTCTGTATAAGTTGTTCTGTGGATATTCCTTGAACAAACCATAAAAAGGAATGTTACTGACATTCATACCCTACTAACTCATAAATAATGCCAGTTTTCCTACTAAATTATTTAAGGATTGGAGACTGTTCCCATTGTAGTTTACTATGCTGTAAAAAATAGACTGAGTCACAAACTATTCACAGGTAATTAAAAATGACAGCTTCTCTTAAATGCTCCATACTGTTTCATCTTATAAACAAGCATCTTCTGCATGCTGTAGTTGGCTATAGCACATCAATACAATTGATAGTGTATCAACAGATAACATGGGGAATCTAAAGTGAAACATCACAAAAGGCAAAAAAACCCAACCTACATTAAAGTTACCACTATTATATCTGTATATATAACACATTCACAAGCTAGTCTTAAAGCTTACATAATACCACTACATCTGGACTATAGTATTAAAACACTGTTATTGTATAAAGAAAAGGTTTCAGAAATTGTGGATTTGCCATTCAATCATGAAGTACAAGTTTTGGCCTTAGGTGAAAAAAAGATCATATAAAATAGGACCGCAGCCATGAACACCAGAGTTACGAACTGACCAGTCAACCACACACCTCATTTGGAACCAGAAGTATGCAATCAGACAGTACACAGTACAGTACTGTGTTAAACGTAAACTATTAGAAAAAGGGAAACTTTAAAAAAAGATTTGACAAGGTAAGGAAACTGTTTCTGTGCTTGTTTAATTTAAATTAAGATGGTTAAAAGCAGCATTTTTCTTCTGCATGGTAACGTTTCAAAGCTGTATTAAATTAATGTTCAGTTCTAAACTTTTGAAAGAACAACAATGTTTTGTTCAGAGTTATGAATAACCTCTATTCCTTAGGTGTACGTAACTCTGAGGTTCTACTGTAGAAGGGTTAAGTTTGCCACATTAGAGGTTTTCTATACTGTGCATGTGCATTGGGCCTTAGTGTTTATGTGAGTCTCAGACAGCAACACCCTCCAACCACATACACAAAATACAACATAAAAC